GCGCGACGGGCCACTAAGGGCAGGGGACGCGATGGGAGGGTAGGCACACGGGGCGCGACTCGGGCAGGGGCGAAGCGCTCTCCGGGCACGAAAAGAAAAAAAAAATAAAAATAAAAATCGATATTCGGTGGGCCCTAGGAAACGTTCCCACGAGGGAACCTGCTCTATACCATGTGAAAGAACGAGGAGTGAATGAACTAGGAAACAGGTGGGTACAAGTAGGAAAACCTAAAAGTGTTGTACCCCATATTGTCTACCCCACTATAGCCTACACAGACTATAGCATATGAGTTTGACACAATCAACGATACCCTCGACATCATGGACTCGACAGCCTTCTCCTCGACCCCTCTTCTTGCTCTTACGGTGGACTTTCGGAAAGCCTACGACCTTGTCGATCGCCCTTTTCTCCTCCAAGCCTTAGCGGTCCTTAGGCTCCCTGCACCCTTCATCCAATGGGTTCGACTAATGCACTCCGACACGAACACACGAATTTCCGTCAACAACATGCTCGGCCCCACCTTCCCTGTCCGTACGGGCGTCCGACTGGGCTGTCCTCTGGCACCTGTACTTTTCGTCTATGTCATCGAGATCTTTCACCGCTACATGTCCCTCTTCCTCCCCGGCTTCGCTCTGTCCCCCGTGCAGCACCGACTCATGGCATGCTACGCCGATCATGTCACTCTCTTCCTCACCTCAGACACAGAGCTCGGCCTTGCAGTGATACTCTTAGGTGTTTTCGGATCTGTGTATGGGGAGGTCCCCAATTGGAACAAATGCTCCATTATTCCTTTCAATATCCCCCCCACCGACCTCGTGCACGCCGGACCTATTCCCGTCCAAGACCCCAGTGAAGTAGAACGCATCGATAGCCGTCAATCCAAGCGGAGTTGTCAGTCCGCTGACATATTAAACAATGAAAACTTTACTGCGTAGAAATCTCACCAACTCTGCGCTGTGATCTAGAACTGGGCAGTAACTCTGCGCCAGAAGCGACAGTGCTGCGCTTTTGGCGTATAGTTCCAGTAACAATGTGTGTGTGTGTCCGACAGAGTCATGTGATGCGATGCGACGAATTTGTTGGACAACATCAGCGGCATCTGTGATGTATTTGGTTCGACACGGTGCTTTGAGGCTCGAAGACGGTACCATATGGTTCCCGGCGCTTTCACAAGGCAACAGTTTACAGCAACAGCAATTTATGGACACCATTGCCTCACTGGCGAGAGCTGCGTCTGTTGGTGTCAGTCGCGTGGGTTGCATCCCCTGACAGAACAGTGTATTTAGTGGCGGATGGGTACAAACAGTGGCAACAAGGGGAGAATCACGACGCGATAGCATGCACCTGAGAAGCTTTTCCCCACAGAGTGGCATGCACCTGAAAATGGCCGAAACTGGGCAGTGGCCAACCTCAGATGCTTGTCACTTTGATCTTGTTGAGGTGACACAGTGACACATAATTGTTCTGTACAGAAGAAGAAACTGTTACCAACTGTGATTATGTATTTGTGTGTGATTATGCCAAAACGTTTGAACAACTTCGCCAGAAAACCGTGCTGAGAGGAGTACAAATGTTCCGGGTTAGAGGCTTTCGATGAGAGAGTCTCTTTTCGCCTAGGGCTGGCCCGAATTCTATAGTTCCGTTTTTGGCGGGAAATTTGGCAGCTTGACCGAATCAGCTCCGCAGCCAATCAGAGGATCCAGATCAAACCAGCCCAACATTCATTGAAAACAATGAAGAAGGGATCATCAATTCGATATTTTAACTTTGAAATTGTAAGTAATTGTTTCTCTTGACCGCGAATACTTCTCAACCCGGTCGCGCTGTCTCCAGCGCGATCGACGATGACATCTCATTTATCTCGCTTACCGGGTAGATTTTTTTTTTTGGGTTACTATTCGACCCCCAAATCATAGTTGCTTTTTTTTTTACCGATAGTCATGCGACATTGATCAGCGTGGAAAACCGTGCGACTGGAAGTTGAAGCAAGCGCGGTCCGAATCTAAGTAAATGCCAAACTCCAGAAACTAGTAGCAAAACAACCACTCTTCATGCAACTTCCTGAACGGGACTACAAGTATCCCGTTTTGCCTGGGGTTTGAAGGTTTTGCCACATAGAGTGCGTGCTGCGATGTTGATCTGTCACACTATAAACAATGACAGCTGTAGTAATCTACAACCGTTTTTTCGTTATTGTTACACCTTCAACATTGGTGGCTTAGATTTGGTTTTTAGGCACTTATTTTCACGTTCGACACGTAGTCAGGCGTGGAAAGTCCCTTTCCGAGACCTGAAAAAGGTTACGCGTTGTTGAATCGTCAAGAAAAATCACGACTTGTGCCAAATTTGCGAGAACAATGTTAGAATTGAACTCGACCCGCCATGTGCGGAGAATTTAGACAGCCCATGTGTGGAGTAAAATCCAAGTCAGAAAGCAAAATTTCAGAGAGCAAATTTCAGAGCCTAACAATGCACTTGAACAATTAAAGAGGAGGTTACAATAAAGAATGTAATACAAGATTTGTTGATAGACACTCACACAGTCTAAAGGAAACAAGCTGTATCATGATTGAACAAAACCTTTGAGATAATTGTATTAGTTTTGTGATGGGCCAGATTGAACCCTTCCATGTACCGTAGTTTCAGCCCCCACTTAGTCAACTCCCTGCATGCCGACAAACGTCATCAAAATACAGGATGAGAATCTAACGTACATAACGTGTACTGGGAACTTTCCACAGGTTGTGAACTGGACCTTTCGAGTGAATCGTGATTTGTTACACGGAGTTGTCCTCTCGTTTCTGGTACACCCTCTCTCTCGCCAGACTGACATTGGCCATATTGACGGACCGGCTGTACTGACATCAATGCGTCCAGAATGGTCCCAGAACATACCATAAAAGCACATTTGCCCCACTCAACCGTACTTAAACGCAATTTTTCTTCCATTAAAAGTTGTGTACCGTTACTCTGGAGTCCATTTGCCCGCCGCTACCTGGCGTTCGGTTGCAAGCACCAGATCGCAAGGGGCCAAGCAACAGTACACTAGTACGCACTGTAGCCAGTGCTTCCCATTGTCAGTCTGGCGAGAGAGAGGGTGTAACTCGCCCTACATATCAATCGATATCAAACTAGTAGGGGCACCCTACCACACTCGTCCAGTCTGCCCCCTCATTATATAACCTACACCCTCACCTCAACCTCCAGTCCCCCCCTCTTCCCCACCCCGCCCCCCTCCCCCCTTCCACCCACCCCACCCCCCTCTTCCCCCTTCTCGAAAACTGCACAAACACATGCGCGAGGAATTCACAGCAAGATTACTCAGGTGGCTCTTGGTCCTGGAGAGGTAGCAAGCAGAAGAGTACCTAAATTAGGATGAGGTCAACTCTGTTCTGGAAGCTCCTTATGCAGGGTGATGGAGCAAAATTTTTGGGAGAGTTGTAAAGCCGCAAAGGATCGTGTTGGTCTGTTGGACCGCCTATGGTCGAATCTGTTTTTTTTTGTCAGATCTCAGACGCATGAAGTTCAGGACTCGTAAAAACAAAGCACGGTGTAGTGTGTTTGCAGCAGACTTTTGAGGGTTCTTTCTACGTATATCCAGAACTTCTCGGGATAGATATACATCCTTTCTCAAAAGCGATTTTATTTCCGTTATTGGCTCCTTGAAGCAGAGCATCGCGGAAAAGAAATCAAGCTCTTTTGACGATATATTTCAAGCACCCTAAATGGGAAACTCAAAATGAAATGTACTTGCAAGAATCCAAACGAGCACACGCAGCTCATTCGTTCAATGGGGGTACCATGATGGCCGAACTACAGTAACCGAGGGCATCGCCTATGGAGCTTCGTCACCTCGAGCTTCGTTCTCACCCCTAGAGCTTGGTCGCCCCGAAAACTCTCACCTCGAGAGAACTCGTTTTTGAACGCGGAGCCGCTACTTTCCTCTCACCCCCTACTCCGTGTTTGAAAGTCGTGTTCACCTGTTTTGCATAACACCTCTGTCGACTGCTGATGAACTACACCCTGTTTCGCGCTAGCAGAGCATCTGGTTGCAGAACATGCACTGGTTGTAGAACGTCACCACGTTTGAAATGGTCTTATCACCGACGGTACAAGCACATTCACAAGAAAGCGGTTAGCTAGGATGCTGCATGGTAAAGAACATTAACCAAGCGTTTCAAAGCGGTTGAAAAGGGTATACAGCGATAAAGAAAAATTTTGCCCCCAGTACCACTCCGTCAGCTGGTGCGGCTTTGCCCGCAGGTTTCAGCCATACGGTTTATGGCACCTGACCGCACTGTAGCAGCGAATCGCGCAAGGTGAGAGGGTCGAGAAACAGGGTGTACATGTTGGTTGTCCAAAACGCGTTTTCTTTCATCACAGCTCCTGTCGGATTGTTTCTTGGATATAAAGGTCGTAAAGCTCGCTGCGAACGAGGCGAGATCTTCCGTCCTCATCACTAACGCCGAATACGTGTCGGACAGTTCAGGAGTATGTGACGAATCAGAGGCATTTTTCAGCACAAGAGCATTTTATCCGACGCCACCAAGGTGTGCCGTCTTAGGACGTTCTAAGAGCTGGAGATCCAGGTGCCTCCTCTTGCACATTGCGAATGACGAGCCGTCGTAAATCTGCGACCTCATCCTTCCACCAGCATCCCAGCAATACCTCAATTCCTCAATATCTCAGCACCACGATTCCGCTCGTAGAATCATATCCCTCCTGCAAGTCTAGGATCTCCAAAGCAGCATCCCAGCCGTGGCTGGGGGATTTGGTCGAATCGCCTGACACCCCGCTTGATCCGCTGGTAGCGACGGGATCTCAAGAGAATCTTTGTGCCTTGGCCGACCCTACCATTACCCCTACGTTCGACTCTGAAAAACGTTTACGGGCCGTTTCGTCAGACGATAGCTCTTCAATGCCGTCGCGGCGCGCCGGTGCTGTCTTAGGTGCGAATGCAGATGTATGGCGGCCTCCGCAAAGGCCGCCGCATCATGCGATGGATTTCGTTCCCGATCATCCCGGGCCTCGAGGGAATGGCACCCAACGAGGCCATTCTTCGAGTGTGCAGCCGCATTCGCACCAAAACAGCTTTGACCAGTACGGCGGAAACGGCGGGATCGGCGGGATCGGCGGAATGGGCGAGGGCGACGGGATTGGCTTAAGCGGCAGATACCGAGCAGCAGTACCGCCCCAGAATCTTCCCCCAGATTTGGACCCGTGGGAAATGGCGAACGCTTGCGACCTTTGGGCGGAAACTTACGAGGGGCCGATTCCCGGGACCGGCGCGCCGGGGCCTGATGTGTCCCGTTTCGGCACAACCGGCGACGGAACTGCGTGGGCGATTCCAGTCGGCGACGACGACTATTACGACGACGGCGCGTCGTCACTCCCTCCGTTCCCCGCGGAAGAGCGGTACGAGGAGGCGATTTACGAGTCGACTCAAGAATCGGCGTCACTGCCTCCGCTCATTGCGGGAGCGGGAGCGCCGTACCAGGGCCTCGGCGCGCTGAACCGCTCCGCGACGACATCCGACCTCGCGACTCCCGCGAGACGCGGCGGTGGATATTTTGAACCCGAGCCGACGAACTTAGCGGCGGGAAGAGCTGAGATGACCACCCGCAAGGGCAGGCGATCATTCGACGCGCGCCTCGACTACGATTCTAGAGACGACGACGCGTTAACGTCGCGCATCGGCGGCGGCGTGTCAGGCGCTCACGTAGCGGGAGCGGCTTTTCGCGACGTGGCGGATGGGGCCTTTGTCGCAGAGGGAGCATCGCAGCAGTGGGACGGCGTCGCAGATGTCGCAGATCATGTCGCCATGCAGGATGCGGCGGGCAGCCGCTGGGATGCGATGATGGCCGAAGGAGGGGAGGATGAGGAGGAATGCGAGGAGGAATGCGAGGAGGAAGAGGAGGGGGAAGAAGAGGAGGAAGAGGAGTGGGACGAAGAAGAGGAGGGCGAAGCTGAGGGCCACGAGGAGGCGGGAGAGGAAGAGGACGAGGCCGATCTGTGCTTGAATCGAGCCAAGACCCTCCCGCTGCTTCACGTTTCGCGCACTGCGTCGTCGGAAAAGTCGGCGGAGCGAGGCTTGCCGGGGACGACGATGGGCGCTGGCAATACGGCTGGCGACGAGGGAGACAACGACGATGACCTGTATCCTGGTGAGTTACTAACGCGTACGAATTCCTGGTTGTCCCCAGTGATGAGTGAGCGACTTTCTCTTTGGCGATGGAAACTGGATGTTGGCGTCTTTAGAATATTAGTTCTGTAGCAAAGGAAGGTTTGTCTCAAGGTAGCTCCAACCAAGTCATAACCCATCCATTCCATCCTCGTTACAAGGGAGATGCAAACACAAGCAAGACAAACAACCAGACCTCAATTCTACCCATCCATTCCATCCTCAGTCTCTTGCCGTTCCTGCGGATTGGTTTCTCCCATACCTCTCCGTCACGGCGCCACACCTCATCTTTCCGAACCTCGTCGGCCCGATCCCGGACCTCACCATGCCGAACCTCACCATGCCGCACCACCCCCGCCCCTTCCCCACGCCGCAGAGCTACGCGCGTGCCACACAGCGCGTGGCCGCCTCCAGCAGCAAATGGCGCCTCCGCCTTACGCGCGCGGCGCTGAGTCAGCGGGGTTCGTTGAGCATCACCACGGGCATCATGGGGATCCTCGTTATAAGGAGCATCGCTACAGTCCGCAGGCTCAGGTTGGTGGTCAGGTTCAGGCCCAGGGTGAGAATATGTTTCGTCAGGAGCAGCTATGGGAACAGCATCATCAGCAGCAATCGTGGCACCAGCAGCAACAGCAGCAGCAGAAGCAGCAGCAGCAGCAGCAGCAGCACCAGCAGCAGCAGCATCATCACCACCAGCAGCATCATCAGCCGCAGCAGCAGCGCAGCCAAAGCCATCGCCGCACGTTTTCCGACGTTTCTGACGTCATCATGACGTCCGGCCACGTGGCAGCGAGCCCGTGCGACCTGCAAAGGTCCCCCCTTCCGCCGCCCCATCACAAAGCTCACACACACGCTGCTGCTGCTGCTGCCGCTGCCGCTGCTGCAAACTATGGTGCGGAGAGGAGTCCGAACGGCCGATTCACAGGGGCTGTAGCGGGTGGGGGAATAGCAGGCGCGGATGTAGCAGAGTGGGTACCGCCGCCCCCAGGAGCGCCCCCCCCTCAGCTGTCACCTGGGTGCCAGCGTCCAGGGGCGGATGTAGCGGCCTGGATATCACCTTCCCCAGTTGGCACCGGGAAGCAACGCGTGCACCGCCGCACAGTCTCTGACCTCTCTGATGTGATGCCGGCTGGGGTTGCTGGCGCTGACATGGCTGTAGCGGCTGCTATAGCCAGCGGGAACGCTGCGGCAGGTGTTGGGCCGGCTGGGCGTGCTGTTGCTACAGCCGGATACGGCAATTCTGACAGCTATCGTGGGGTCGGGGTGAACGTGCCGTGTAGCAGAAGCAGCAGCGGCGGCAGTGCTGTGCCTGTGATGGTGTATTCAGGGGCGAACAGGGTAGGGGAGGGGGCGAACAGAGGAGGGGAGAGTCGAAGATGCATGGAGGGAGTGGGTGCCCGGCCGAATGTGGCATCAGGCTCTGCTTCTGCTACTGCTACTGCTCGTGTTGGCTCTTTTACCCCAAAGCACCAACAGCTGCTGCTGCAGCAGCAGCAGCAGCAGCAGCAACCGCCATTGTCAGTGCCACCCCTACACCAGCAAGGCAGCAGACGGAACGTGCCGAATTTCGCCCCTCAGAAGAGCTTCGGCAACGCTGCTGCCGTTGGGTCTAAACCAATGCTGGGGCAGCCTCAACTGAGTATGGACAGGGGAAAGGGGAAGGGGCGCGGAGCAGGAGGGGCAGGGCCAGCAGGAGACGCAGCAACAGCAGCAACGGCGGCAACTGCTGTCGCAGACGGAAGCAGTATAGCGAATGGAGGCGGGAGGGGAAGCCTAGGCGCATCTGGGCGTAAGGTTGGGGCCAATAAGCGGCTCAACTCCCTTGCTTCCGTCGCCAAGGCGCTTGGGGCGTTTGAGAAGCAGACTGAGAGGTGGAAGGAGCAGCAGGCGCTGCTAAAAGCGCAGGAGGAGGAGGAGGAGAAGGAAGGAGAGGGAGCGGAAGCTGGAGGAGGGGCAGGGAAGCGGGAAGGGGAAGGCGGAGATGGGGGGTCAGGGGGAAGTGGAGCTGCGCCTAAGACCCCGAAAGGTGCTTCGTTGGGTAGGATATTCACCATGAACCGCTCTGCACCGAGTGGTGGTGGTGGTACCAGTAACAGCAATAGCAGCAGCAATGCCGCCAGCACCGGCAGCAGCAACAGCAAAGGCGCCAGCGGCAGCAATGCTGTCCCTCCGAGAACGCCCAAGGCTCCAACCTTTGTGAAAGGCTCTCCTGCTTATTCCCCCTGGGTGCCCGCAGCCGCTGCCGCTGCTGCTGCTGCTGCCGCCGCTGCCACTGCTGGTGCTTCAGGCGCTGGCGTTGCTTCTGCTCCCGATGCTGGTGCTTCTGCTGGTGCTGGCGCTGGTGCTGCGTTTCCCGCGCGCGCGAACACGTTTTCCAGAGCAGCAACTACGGGGCTTGTTCCGCCCAAAACGCCCACCGCATCGCAGCCGTTGAAAGGCCTCGCAGCACAGTCGTTCAAAGCATCTCAGCCGTCCAAAGGGCCACAGCAGCAGCCCAAGACACCAACAGTCCAACGAAGCTCCACAGGAGCGTGGGGGGGGAAAGGGGCAGGAGGAGCAGGAGCAGCAGGAATAGGGGCAGGAGGAGCAGGAGGAGGAATAGCAGGAGCGTTTGGAGTGGGAGGGAAAGAACCAGGAGGATCAGGGAGAATGGCACCCTTAAACCTAACACCACTGGTGTTACAGGAAGAACCCCAGCTGCACCTAGTGCCGCCTGGCAGGAAAGCAGGCGCTGCAGCAACAACCGGACCCTCTGTGAGAGGCACCAGGACTCCTGGGGGGAGGCTGCAGCGGCAGATGAGTGACGATGAGGAGGAGGAGGGGGACGGGGAGAGGGGGAATGGGAGAGGAGCGGGGGAGGGTGATTTGGGAAGGTCGGGCTTAGGTGTTGGTAAGCGGGCGGGTGTGACGGCCCCTATGACTCCTAAAGGAAGGCTGCAGCGGCAGATGGATGAGGAGGAGGACGATGGGGAGGGTGTGAGGCTGAAGGCAGGTAAGAAAGGAGGAAGGTTGCAGCGGCAGATGGAGGAGGATGAGGAGGAGGAAGGGGAGGGTGTAAAGGCGAAGGCGGGTAAAAAAGGAGGGAGGCTGCAGAGGAGGATGGATGAGGAGGAGGATGAGGAGGAGGGTGTAAGAGCAAAGGCGGGTAACAAGGGAGGTGTTGATGCTAGCGTGTCAGTGCCTGTTGCTCCTGCTAAGGGAGGCAAGAAAGGAGGAAAGCTGCAGAGGAGCTTAGACGAGGACAGTGAGGAAGAGAAGGAGGAGGGTGCGAGGAAACGGGAGGGGAGGCGCGTGCATGGGAAAGAGGAGAAGGGCAAAGAGGAGCGGAAGGCAGGTTCGGGCTCTGCTTCGGGAAAAGCAGGTTCAGCTAGTGCTTCGGGAAAAGCAGGTTCGCCCATGGCTGAGGGAAAAGAAGTTTCAGCTGTTAGTGCAGGCAGGCAAGGGAGCAAGAGGGAGGGGGGGAGGCTGGAGAGAAAGATGGAGGAGGAGGATGATGTGAATAGAGGGCGAGGGGATGAGGGCGAGATGGGGGAGACGGATGGCGGCAGGAGCGGGGTTGAGTGCGGTGGGGGTGAATGCAGTACGCGAGAGGAGGGGGAGGAGGAGGGGGGAGGGAATGAGGGGCAAATTGCTGGTGAGGGAAGGAAGGGGAGGATTTCTGGGTCTTACGAGGGGGATAGGCGCGAGGGTAAGGCTTCAGGAAGGCTGCAGAGGAAGATGGATGATGATGGTGGTTGCGATGAGGAAAAGGAACGCTCTGAGTTGGCTCAAAAGGGTGACAGGCGTGAGGGTAGGGCTTCAGGGAGGCTGCAGAGGAGGATAGATGATGATGAGAGTGATGAGGAGAAAGGGGTGAGTGGATCGAGAAGGGTGGGTGGTAAGCCGAGGAGCCAGGCTAGCACTCCCAAGGGAGGGAAGAGGGCCGGGAAGAGTCAGTCCTATGTTGAGACTTCTCCATTGTCTCAGAATTCACCGTCTCAAAACGCCAAAGGAGGGCCGGATGGCCCGTTTAAACGGGTCGGATCGTTGGGTGCTTTGGGTGGGGATGAGAGGGGAAATCCTGAGAGTGAGGGGCAGGGAGAGAGGGAGGGGGAGAGGTTGAGGAGAAAGAAAGGGAGCGGGGATATGGACAGGGAAAGGTGGTCGAAATGGAGTGGGGATATGGAGAGGGATCGGAGGTCTAAGGGGAGTAAGGGGAGTGGAGATTTCGAGAGGGATGGCAGGAGGTCCAAGGAGCAGGAGGAGCAGCAGGCAAAGGAGGAAGAGGAAGGGGAGGGGAACGAGGAGAAGGAGGAGGAAAGTGACAAGGTGAAGGGGAAGGAGACGACGGAGAGGGGGGAGCAGGAGGAGGAGAAGAAGGGAGTAAAAGAGGAGAAGGAGAGTCCAAAGGAGAGGCGCAAGGTGAGTAAACTGCTGCGAAGGCTGGAGGATGATGAGACAGATGAGGAGGTGTGTGTGAAGGAAAGTGCGAAGGAGAGTGAGAAGGAGCGTGAGAAGGAGGGTGAGAAGGAGCGTGAGAAGGAGCGTGCAAAGCATAGGAAGGTGGGCTCTCAGGGAGAGGATGTGAGGAGGATCGGTTCAGATGTGAGAAGGATCGGTTCAGATGAGACAGACGCGAGCAGGATAGGAGGGAGTGGGAGAAGAGGGAGTGGGAGGAAGGCAGGTGCAGCAGGGAGTGGTTCTGCTAGAAAGGAGGTTGGGAGCAATCGGAAAAGTAGGTTGGGGGAGGTGGGGAGGGAGGACGGCAGGAAGACGGAGGATGAGGGGGAGAGGGAGGGGGAGAAGAAGAGGAGAGGAAAGGAGGATAAGGCAAGAGAGAAGAAGGAGAAGGACGGGGGGAAGAAGGGTGGGAGCAAAGGCAGTGGGAGGAGGGAGAAGGGCGAGATTCCTCTGAAGGCCACACGTTTGTTTGCAGATACTAACACCGATTGGAATGCGGGTCCTTCCTCTGCTGCTACTTCCGATGGGCTGCCTTGCAAGTCTCCTAGAAGCATTCGCGAGGGCTCTTTCTTTGGCAGCCTGAGCAGCTTCCGATTCGCGCCTGACGTTCGCTCGCTCTGGTCTCGAACCAAGACGATGAATGAGCGCGATGGGGAGGAGCGGAAGAGGAAGGAGGAGAAGCGGCGGAAGGAGGAGGGGGGAGGAGAGGAGGAGGAGGAAGGGGGGAAGGGGAGGGAGGGAGGGGAGATGGGCCGGTCTTGGTCCCGGACTAGGACGATAAACGAGGGTGATGAGGAGGCGAGGAAGAGGGAGGAGAGGAGGCGGAGGAAGGGGAGTAATGGGGGAGACGAGGAGCAGGAGGGGAGAGAGGGTGGGGAGTTTGAGCGGTCTTGGTCTCGAACCAAGACCATGAATGAGGGAGATGGGGAGGCGAGGAAGAGGGAGGAGAGGAGGAGGAAAGACAGCGCGGGAGAGGAGGAACTGGAGGGGGGAAAGGGGAGGGAGGGAGGGGAGATGGGGCGGTCTTGGTCCCGAACTAGGACGATGAATGAGGGGGGTGGGGAGGCGAGGAAGAGGGAGGAGAGGAGGCGGAGGAAGGGGAGTGGAAGTGGAGAGGAGGGGAGTGGCATCGGTGCTTCTGGGATGGATGAAGTTGGTGTGAACGAGGGCGGGAACGGCAGCACTGAGGGGCGGTTTAAGGCAAAGGAGGAGGGTGGGTCAAGGCGTGCGGGTAAGGACGGGAAAGGTGAGCGAACGCTCTTAATTGACACAGGCAGTGATAGCGAGGAGCAGGAGGATGGGAGGGATGCGCAGGCAGAAGGGGAGGAAGGAGGCAAGGAGGGTGAGAAGGAGCAGGGGCAGCAGGGAAAGCTGTTCAAGGTAGAGGAGGAGAAGCGATTGCTGCAGCTGCAGCTGCAACAGCTGGAGGAGCAGCAGAGGCAGCTAGAGGCCGAGGTGGAGCGGCAGAGACAGCTGCTGGGATTGAGCAGTGGGGTGGTTGACAGTTAGAGATGAAACAGGCTAAGAAGCAACAGCTAGAGTGGATGGAGGAAGAGGGTCAGATGGACACTGCAGCTGCAACAGCTGGGGGAGCAGCGGAGGCAGCGAGAGGCAAAGAGGCGACAAGAGTGATGGTGGGGTGGGGATGCTTTCTAAAATATATGGGCCAATTACATCTGTCCGCGTTGAATTATCATAATTTCCTTTTGGGGTTGTTTTTGAGTGCTAAGCACTTTGCTGCTGCGTCTCTGAATCTTGTTTTCTTTTTTTCCTCTGCCAAAGATATTTATATATACTGTTTCTCTACTGTAATACTATATCCCTTCATAATTAAAGTTTTGTACGATAATTATGCGTCACTTCGTACTTGAGTCCACTTCCGGGGCTGTAGCGTACAACGAAGCAGACTAGATTCCACGCCACGTCTGATTAACACCTTGAAACTACCATTTTTCGATTCTAGCGCCACAGCAACCGAATTCCACACCGCATTACCACTTGCTAGTTACCTTCTGATTGAGTTGCTGACGGTAAATCCTAACTACGCTTACTGTAAGGAAAATTCCTTTTCCTTACTTCGCATCCCTGCTCAACGCGTACATCACTGTAGCACCACAGTCAGCACCGTTACCACTCGCAACCCTCGCTTCGACAATCCGCCCGCCACCTTCGCACATCACACCCCGACCTCACGGCTCGGCGGGTAACCCGCGCTCCGGGCCTCCGCTTCGACACTTTTCCCAACCTCAGTCCTAGGCCCGTCGCGCGACAACCACAGTCCATTACCGTTACCACTGTAGTTTCGCTATATATTCTTCGCTCATGCCTCCGCTCATTGTACTCTTACTTCGATAGTGCAATTCTCGTTCGTTCACTCAATTGCACTCGTAAGACTTGGTATCAGAGCCTACGATCTCCTCTCGGACCGCACCCACACCTTCGCTTCCCCACTATCTCAATTTTTTGGGGGGGGGGTAGACGTCTCTCAGCGACACAGCACCGCCGCTCGTAGTGCTCTCTCGTAAGCACGCACGGCCACGACCGAGGCTCTCGCTGAGCTCGCCCGACACCCCCGCCATGGCCGAATTCACGCTCGCCACATTGAGGCAGGAGCAGCTCGACCGTCTGGTGCGCCAACTTGAAGATTCGGCGCTCGAAATTGCGACGCTCACGGCGGAACGTGACTCCGCACGTCAGCAATCAACGATGAACACTCCAGCGCCACCACACGCACCGACAAATGCATCTGCACAATCAGACGAGCCGATCGTCATTTGTGTCGGTGTGCAAGGGAGGAAACAGGGTCGCACCAAGCCCGCGGGAGCCTCGCGAAGCCCGTCGGCACGTGGAGTTCGCAGCGACAAGCGGCGAACAGGCCATTATGGCACCAATGCCACTCAAGCCGCAACGCCCGCCCTGCTTCGACCCGAGCCAGCGTGGAGGTCCAACGGTTCAATCGTGGGTCTTCACGATGAACATCTTCTTCGACGCGAATAACGTCGAGTCGGACGCAACGAAGATTCGGTATGCCGTTTCGCTGCTAAGGGGCCCCGCCATGGACTGGTGGCGAGTCATCGTGACGTCGCCACGCGCCTACGAGCCATCGTCGCAAGAGGAAGGGCCCATGTGCCCAACTCTCACCTGGAGTTCATTCTGCGAGATCGCTCAATACAGAACGTGGGATGCGTGGTGCGCAGGGCTTCGGGCGCGCTTCGAGCCGATCGAGGCTTCTATTTCGGCGCGTCAGAGATTGCGCACTTGGCGGCAGCTCGGATCGGTTCAAGACTATACGAGTGGTTTTCTCGCATTATGCGAGCAAAGTCGGCTACATGCACGAAGCGGAGCGGGTGGACCGTTACGTCGGAGGGCTAAAGCCGGACATCTCGCACGAAATCATGCTACGCGGGCTCTCGAACTTCAACGAGATTCTCGCGCTCGCCGAGAAAATCGACATTTTACGCCGTCCGAGACCGGGGTCCTACTATGGACATCGTCCTCGGGGACCGATCGAGCACGCCACTGTACACGTTTTTGCGACGAATGCAGCTGCCGCGCCGTTTAAGGGGCGCTGCTTTGCTTGCAGCAGGCCGGGCCATCGCAAGAGCGAATGCCCAGAGGAGCTAAGGCGCCGCGGAGCAGAGCAGGGGAGGGAGTCTCCAAGGCAGGGAAACGCCAGCAGTCAGTAGGAACCGGGCCAACTACTGACGAGACTGCCTGCTAACCCCACCGACCCTCACCGAGTCAAAGTACCGATTCATGCTATCGATCGGACTCGGACGAATAAGGAGGGTACAGCGACGGATTGCTCAATACTGATCCACAGGAAAATACAGGGAGCAGCAGTGAAGATTTTTATCGACGGAGGAGCAAGCCACAGTTTAGTTGATACCGCAACCGCACGAGAACTGCAGCTGACACTTAGCCGTTGCTTATGGAGATAGACGCACGCTTAGTCGACGGCACGCCACTGGCCATACGGGAAAAGGTAGAGAGAGTCAAAGTCCGCTGCGGGGGAAATTTCGGGTTTACACAGAAAATGCTCGCAACGACACTGGATGGGCACGATATGTTACTGGGACGTGATTGGCTGCGACGGTATAACCTGCGAATTGACTGGACGACGGGTAGCTGCACCGTACGAAGTAGTGGTAACTGGGTCGAGTTACCTCGCTGGCAGTCGCCCGAGTCTTCAACGGTACACGTCAACGCCATCACAATGAAACGGGCTGTCACTGCTGGAGCTGACGTGTACGCAGTAAACATCGCAGTAGTAGAGGAAGCAAAGCAACTGAGTGATTTCAAGAAACGACTGGCAGTCGTACCGCCCGAATTACAGGAACTATTGAAACGATACCCCGGGATTTTCCTCGATGACTTACAGGAAGGACTGCCACCTCAGCGAGCACATGACCACCGAATCTAATTAGAACCGGGAGCACAGCCAACCGTACAGCGCCAGTTCAGACTGACACAGCCCGAGCTCGACGAACTAAGGAAGCAGCTAGATTACCTGTTAGAGAAAAAATTCATCAGACCGAGCTTGTCACCGTTCGCCGCACCGATACTATTCACGCCAAAAAAAGACGGGGGCTTTCGCATGCGTATCGACTACCGAGCACTAAACATGGTAACAGTCAAGTCGCGGTACCCCATTCCCCGCGCCGACGAACTGATCGACCAACTGCGAACAGCACAGGTTTTTTCGAAAATGGATTTACAACTGGAGCCAACGAACGCATAGGTGAGCCAGCGAAGCTCCTGTGCAGCCATGGCCCCGGCGTAGATCTCAGCCTCACAACTGGAGCCGAGAACCGAAGACGAGCGAGTAGACCGCCACGAGACAGAGCCGGAACCAAGGCTGAAGGTGTAACCCTGTGACGACCGCTGCGTAGCCTGATCGTCAGCCCAAGACGCGTCCGCGTGGCCGGTAAGGACCACTGGACTCCGCCCTCCAAGCACTAGCCCCATGCCTGACGTACTGCACAGGTAGCGCAATACCCTCTTCGCTGCAGCCATGTGCTCCGGTCTGTGTCTCCCAGGAGCAACATAGCGTGCAAGAATGCTCAGAGGGTATGCAAGGTCAGGTCGTGTGCAGGTCATCAGGTACATGAGGCAGCCAACAAGCTCCGCATACGGACCACTCGACTCTACGGACTCATCCGAAGGCAGAGCTGAGAGTGAGTGGCGAGTAGGCAGAGGAGTGGCCTGAGGCGAGGAGTACGTGAAGCCGAAGCGCTGAAGGACCTGCTGCACCATGTGTGACTGAGTCAAGGTAATGGTGCGGCGTGCTCTGTCCCGAGTGATCTGCAAGCCAAGGTAGCTGCGCAGTTCACCCAGGTCTGTGCACGTGTGTCTCTTCAACAGCTCGGACTTCACGTAGGCGAGTCCAGCAGTGTCCGCTGTGGCAAAGACCAGGTCGTCGACGTACACGAGGATGTAGAACGGCGGCAGGGAAGTGTCGGTGCGAAGAAACAGCGACGGGTCAGCAGTAGAAGGAGCAAACCCAAGAGCCGCAAGCGTAGTCCTCAGTGTGTCGTGCCACTCACGCGGTGCCTGGCGGAGACCGTAGACTGGCCGTCGGAGGCTCCACTGGGTGCCAGGAGGGAAAGTCCCAGTGAAGCCAGGTGGACGGCGAAGCCAGATCTCCTCGTGCAGGCTACCCTGCAAGAACGCAGTGCTGAAGTCGAGAGAGTGAAGCTCGTAGTCGCGCTGAGCGGCTATGTGCAGCAGCACCCGAAGAGTAGTCATCTTCGGGGTGGGAGAGAAGGTCTGAAAGTAGTCAACTCCCTGCCGCTGACTGAAGCCACGAGCAACGTACCGTGCCTTGAAGACAGGTGGAGAGCCCGGCGGCCGCTTCACCCTGAAGATCCACATGCCACTGACGATGTTCGCCCCAGGAGGGGGAACCGCGTCAACGTAGGTGCCTGTGGACTTCCAGGAAGCCATCTCTGCATCCATAGCTGCCTGCCACTGAGAGGAGTAGGGACCCTCTACGGCCTCCGCGTAAGAACGCGGAGTCGGGATGTCTAGTGCATCCGGGTCTCCCTCAGGGGCAAGCAGTACAGACGCGAGATGAGGTGAAGCAGCCGCTAGACACTGTAACTCCTCCTGCCTGTCCTCTAGGACGTCCGTGCCAAGAGCACACTCACCCCCGACGGACGGAGGACAGACAGACGCAGACTCAGCAACAAGACTAGCAGCGTAGTCGAGACGACAGCGAGCAGCAAAGTCGACGAGCTCAGCGACTAGAGCAGACGCAGCAGTGGACTCAAAAGAGGGGTCAGTGACGACAGTAGCAAGCAGACGCGTGACAGTGGGACTGGCAGCGCGAAGAGAGTCCGACTCAGGGTCGGCAAGCGCAGGAAGAGAGGACTCAGGAGGAGAAGGCAAAGGGGCACGCAGAGGAGCAGTGGACGGACGTAAAGACATCCGGTGCGTGCCAGGGACAGGAGGAGGACGCTGACGCGAACTGCGACCACTAGCGCGAGTAGCACGAACAGGCGACGCAG